GAGCAGGGAGCCCGATGCGGGACTCGATCCAGGGACTCTGGGATCATGACCTGAGCCGAAGGCAGTCGCTTAACCAACTGAGCCACCCAGGCACCCTGACTTGTGGATTTAATCAAGATACCCCCACACAGGGTGATGATCAGATGGCAATAATTCCCTTAGACTTATCCCAATGTTCCCCCAAGTGGCCTAAGTATCTATCAGTTTCATCTACATTGAGTAACTGGTCATCCTGCAAGGCGACGAGTCAAAGTTTCCCTGGTAATCATGGAGCAACAGCTTGGTGGGGAAAATGCATACTTGGGTCTCAACAGCCCAGAATAAAGTGGAGAGTTGGGCATTTGTATTGCTTAAAAGCCTTAAAAAAACCAAAAAGCTTTTACTCAGGTAGTTCAAGTAAAAGCAAGCTTCTTGACAGTCCAAATGACTGAGGAAATTATAGGTGTGTAGAACTAGTTTTGTCTATATTCAACTTGAACCGTCAATAAAGGAGTTTCTCTCAATGCTGGGAAATTTCCCTCTCAATGCTGGGAAATTTCCTTGTATTACAGACACAATGATAATAGTTAAAAGTGTGATTAGTCTACGATTTTTGATTGAATATAATGATAGATCAAAATCAATTCTAGAAGTCAAGGACAATTTCCTTCTTGTTAATAAAACAGAACAAAAATTTAAGCCCATTCTGCTTACAGATACTCTTCCTCAATGTCCCAAGATGTGCTTGAGTCTGGAAGGCAAATTTTAGCTTTCTTCCTATGAAATGGCAGTTTCTCCCTCAATTCCCTATCCTCTCCCCATTCTTGCTTTCAGGTTCCAATGTCTCCCCAACTTTAAAAAAAATGAACAAGTTTATTAAAATGTTAAGATTATGCCAGAGTATAAGAAGGACAAAACGGGCAGAAGGATACAATTTTAGAGTGAAACTCTATAAAAGTCTAACACTCTGTTAATAAGATGAGAAAACAAGGCCCCCAAATGACAAGTACACTCTCCAGGTTAAACAGGTAGGTAGTGACGTGGAACTAGAATCTAGGTTTTTAGGTATCTAATTCCCCGGCCAGCCTACTATTGGCCTTCCCCAACTTCTTAAAAGTGTCTAAATTACCTCTTTTAATAAATCAGTCACCACAGGGACAGAGTATAGAATGAGTTAAGGGGAAAATATGTTAACTCTTTCACAGAGTATCAGTCAATAACTGTCATTCATTTTTCAATACCCATAGATATGGAGTTGGTGTGGGGAGCTTCTCAACGCCTTTTTCTCCCTTATTCCTACATTTCTTCAATGATAATGTAGGTCATTCAGGCTACATAATTCTATCTGGGGAGATCAGTTTAGTTTCTGAGGCCAAAAGCATTAAGCTGGTCCTCCAGTTGGACAGTGGTCTCTTCTGCTATTTGGGCAATACACAGATCCGTTCTTTCCAACTACCATCAAAGGGACTAATTTCTGGATTCTTTACCTACTATTACTTCTATTCTCTTTTTTCCCCCCTCAGACACCATTCAACTTGTCTGTCTACTGTTGTCCAACCCCCTAACAGTTCTCACTCACACTGTGCTTTAGCTATTCAAATACAGAATTATTTCTAACAGCTAATTATTCTCTAACATCTGAATCTAATGGCATCTACTCCTCTTGGACGGTATTGTTTGAGAGCAACAACCTGTCCTATTCACTGTATTTCACTCATTTATTTGTTCAACAAATGTTTGTTGGCAAAAAATCAGAATATATTGGCAGGTCTTGAGTTAGGTGTTAGCTTAATGAACAAGATGGATGTATTCTTATCTTGTGGATTTCAAAAATAGTCAATAAACAAAAGTTATAATTTTTATCAACAATTTTTATCAACGTGTGGATTGTAGGCTCAGTAAGTGTTGCCTAAACTCTTGACAGCATATCAAGCAATATAGAAAACATTCCAAGTTACTAACAAAATACTCATACAATGTGGATTTTAATCATATTTTTAATGTTAGTAACAATATTTATTTTTTTAAGATTTACTGATTTATTTGAGAGAGAGAAAGAGTGTGAGCGGGGGAAGGGGCAGAGGGAGAAGGAGAGAATCTCAAGCAGACTCCCCGCTGAGTGTGGAGCCGCACAGAGCTCAATCCCAGGACCCCGAGAATATGACCTGAGCTGAAACCAAGAGTCCAATGCTCAACTGACTGAGCTACCCGGCACCCCAGTAACAGTATTTTAATATTTTGTATCACAGTATAACACCAGGTCACTTGAGAAATAACTTGTTCATGTGGATATTAAAATGGACAAAAATAAACGGAGCCAATGCCAATTTATATCTAATTAGGAATGTGCTTTGCCCTGAGATATTGAAAAGACTTATTTTATTTTACAGTGATCCATCCAGGTATTCCTCAAATATTTACCAAACACCTTCTGAGTGCCAGATATTATTCTAGATATAGGAGATAAATCCATTAATAATCCAAAGTTCCTATCCTCAGTAAGTTTATATTTAACTATATTCACCAAAATTATCCAAATATACCTGAAAGAGTGATCTTTCAGCTCATTTAACTTTGAAGGTCAATTAGCATGCACTGATATAAGAAATAATACATTTGCTTAAATGAAGTCATTCCTATCAATGGACAGTATATGATCAACAGAAAATTTATGAGAGTTTTGACATGCATGTGACTATTTCTATCTTCAACGCCTTAAGATTCCCCAGTGTCCTACTCTTCATAATATCAAAATCTAAAGAATATTACAATAAGATGCATAAAAGAGCATGCTGGTAAATGGGACTATAATGTAAGATGTTGGAGCTGTAGACCATATCTAGGTGTTTTGCACACCAATTGCATATCAGTACTTTGCATCTGAAGGGTACCTCTACAAAGAAGTCTATGGCTTTCCATCCCATGGAGAACCCCCTTTGAAGGCTAGTCCTTGCTAATTCAGCAGAGTGAAGAGGAATGGTAGAAGACCACCTTCCTAATGCACTTGCACAAAAGCTAACTCAGCTTCTTCTATTAAGGGATGCAGGGATCTGTGTGATATAGAAGGTCATCTCCTCTTGGACTCTGGAGACATATGGGGTATGGATGTGATTGTGGGTAGAGTAGACACGAACAGCAAGAGAAAGAATGAAGATAATTAGGAATGGCCATATAGTGAGGAGGCTGAAAAACTTAATTCTGTCCTAGTTTATGACACTAGGACAAAAATGTAATTTGGTATTTGAGAAGGCTATGCTTCAATATTTTGTTTTCAGTATTATTTATGATTCCTGTCTTTAGCCAAAAGAATCTGAATATTACTCAGCCAAAAAACTCCCCAAATTTTAGTACACTTACAAGAAGGCAACTGGACTAATAACAGCTGTGCATGTCTAAAAATCCATAGTTAATAAAATCATAGTATTATATATGTAAAGGGTTTTTAAAAACATTATTCGGGGGCACCTGGGTGGCTCAGTCGTTAAGCGTCTGCCTTCGGCTCGGGTCATGATCCCAGGGTCCTGGGATCGAGCCCCGCATCGGGCTCCCTGC